TACACATTTGTGAAAAATGCCAAGGTTTATCAAAGAAAGGTAACAATAAACGTTTCATAAAATAATGTAGAGGCCCCTTACAGGCTTGTTAAGTTCTATAGTACTTATATACTAAATAGTATACTCAAATAGAAAAAAATGTATTTAATAATAACTTCTATATAAAAAACTGTGCATCCACATTATTCATTTGGAATTTCAACCTCAATTCTGAAAGACATGACAGTAATTTTTAAAACTTTAATTCATATAAAAACTACACATAGATCTTGTTGAAATGAAGATTCTGATTTATCCGGATGAGGCCTGAGATTCTGCATTTCTAAGAAGCTTCAAGATGTTGCTGATGTGGCTAGGCCATAAACCACACTTGAAATCAAGGATTTATGCTATCTGAGTGAAAATAAGCTGAATTTCTTTAAAAATTGCTGGTACTGCTAGCTTGGGATGAAAGTTTCAAGTCTCCAGGTTTTCCTTCAGCTAGTACGTACACAGAGAATAGCAGAACTTTGTGAAATGAAAACACTCATTTATCCACCTTTTTGAATCAGGAAGTTTGAAACAAGCGGGAACAAGAGCGAGTGAAGGTGTGTCTATGTGCTCGCACTGGTGCGCCTGCTCCCAGGTTCACGGTAGTACCTTCCTAACTTGCATTAAGGGAAGTAAGTGTGTCAGCAGCTCTCCCGTGACTATCCTCAATTTGAACTTGCATTCATCTAAGCATACAAAGTTCAGAGAATTGTCAGGTTCAAATATAGCCTATCTCTGAGGTTAAGCTCCATCTTATTTCACACATTTCAACATTTTCCATGTGGATGCCGTTAAGGTTGCCTGGAATTTGGAGATAAGCCCAGGATTAGTCCTGCTTTAAAGTCATCATAAAGCCTTGTTATAGGCCTCAAGTTAAGTTGTTAAATGCATTTCTCAGAGCTTACTGGGAAAAAAAAAAAATTTTTTTTTTTTTTTTTTTTATATATATATTTTTTTTTTAAGAAGTCACATTCACTAACTTTGGGAAGCTTCAGATAGCAAAAATACAGTGGTGGTTGTTGAAAACTTACCTGCAGGCCTGCACCTTCATGTTTTTATGGATGGTAGGCTTACGTTCTAAGGCTAAAAATCATTGTTTACTAAGCTTGCTTTAGGAAAAATATCTAAACTGAGTATGTTGGATGGGATATTCAGTCTTTTTTATTTTAAGCATTTTGAAAATTGGGGCAACTTATTCAAGCAGAGCAGATTTTGATAAGCTCTTGATAATGATTATCTATTATTCTATTAATATAATAATAAATATTTTACTAGTTTTCTTTCTCTACTGCTGTCAAACTCACTACTACACTATTTTTCAATTACTATGATACTTACATGTGTTAAAAACAGGAATTAATAATGATACATTTGTCTTAATAACACAGCTAAAACATTGACTTTTCTATTTTATTTATTTATTTCTGTCCTGTGTAGCCATTCTGCTGGCCTGGAGGACATAAAATAAAAAGTGGTAGTATTTCATCAAGTCTTGTCAAAATTTCATTGCCTCTGGCTAAAGGACATTGCAGAATATCTGGAGGAGGTATAATGCAAAGTTATTAAGTTGCATACTGAACCGAATTGGGATTGGAATGATTCCCTGAAAATAAATTTGAAGTGTAACCTGCAGAAATAATTTCTAAAGGAAAGTCAACAGGCTCCCTACATCTTTCTCCAAAAGAAATAATTTCTAAAGGAAAGTCAACAGGCTTCATACATCTTTCTACAACTTTAAATTTTGTCTAGACTATTTAATCTGATTTGTAAAGAGTAGGTGAAAAAACTTCTACATACTACAGATTTTAGAATTTCTAGGGTTGTCCAAAAACTAGTATAAGATAATCATAGCTTTTTAACACCAGAGCAATAGAGATAACAAAATAGAACAGAGTAGATAAAGTTTCTTAGAGGTCCTATAAATAAGAGATGCACTGGAATACCTTCTTTTTTATTAATATAGGAGTGAAACTAATCTTGAAAAGGATTCTGGTAAACACTCATATAAGACTATTCATACAACTTGGGTAGATAACATGATTGCCTTTTTAATTAAATTCTTACAATTTTATTTTGCTTTAGAATTTATAGTAGCTTACTGATATTGGAGATTTTTTTTAAATGCTAAAGCAGTTCTAATTTTTCTAATATGTTATGAATTTTTATAACAATCTTCATATGTCATCTGAGCAACTTCCATTGTTTCTTGAGCTCACTGGCTAGATTTTTGTGGGTTATATTTGATTAAATTGGGAAGATCTCTGCAATTAAGTGTGGAGGGTATTTAAGTGTATTCGGTGAGTATAGTTTAATAGCTGAGAGCAATTACTCCTGTATGTAGAGCATGATTCCCTTAACCAATCATGATTCTCGATCATATCTTCTCTATGAGGAGACTCTATTATTCTTTTCATTTTGATAAATTTGAAACTCAGAAAAATTAATTCACTCAATGTCATACAGTTAATGATGCTGCGATTTTGACCTGCATTCATTACCTTGATTACTTGTATTTCCCATAATTCAGAAAGCAGAAATAATGCTTCTTAGGCCCACCACTATAATATACATGAAATAATATTATCAAGTGAGATTTTTTATAGTCCAAAACAGAAAGTTGACAGAAAGATCTTTCCTATTTCATATATCTTTATAATTATAACATATCACAAAAGTTTTCAAAGTATTTTTATCACTTATTTCTTCCAAAGTTTACCTTTATTTCTACATATAAAATACTTTCAACTTGATAGTTCATAGGAATAAAATATATTAATGAATGATTTACCTAAGCATTAAAAGAATTATAATCTTTAAAAATATCCGATAAGAAAGTAAAAAAAAAAATCACTATTGCTATCCTAATAATCCTTTTTCTGTTGATCTACTTCACTAAGGCTTATTAAATTGACAGCTTACTTCCCAAGTAATATTATATGCAGAAAGATAGTTTATCAAAGTTGCCATTGTGACAAAGATGACAGTTATTTGAAGCCAAAAAAAGTAGGTCCTATTATTTTTATCTGTCTTTAAAAACTTTTAACTGAAAAGTATCTCTTAGAAATAATCAGTGAAAAATGACTTATAAGCCACAATTTTATTATTATTTTCATTTATTTATTTATTTATTTTTGAGAGGTTTTCGCTATAGGGCACATACGCTCACCAGACAGACAGAGAGAGACATAAAGACAGAAAGCGAGAAATCACCCCCCAGGGGGGATGGTCATGTCGCAATCCCTTCTCCTCCATTCTCCTCTTGGGATCTTGGGAACACCCGCACACGCGCCTGGCGTGAGTGCTAAACCACCGGGTCCGGGACGCGAACCGCAGTCGACTACGGGGGAGTCCAGCAACATAGCCATTATGCTAACTGCTGGTTCCCAAGCCACAATTTTATACTATCAAGTTGTTTCTTACTATATTACTCCCAGGTCACAAGTCTGTTGTAATAGTTTACCAACACAAAGTTAATTATGTAAAAGAGTTATCCAGAGAAATATCACCTATATTTTGTAGTACCCGTCAATCAAAAAAGACTACTTACTTACTTGGTGGTCTTCAACCTCAGATCTGTATTTTATTTTTCATTTAAGAACAAAATTTTAGCTTTACTAACATATTAAGTACCTATTATTACTATTTTAAGAGGGCTGAGCTAATAATGACTATTTTGACATAAGTAGTCCCAATTTGAATCAAAAGAAATGATTGCATAGTTTCAGCTGCTTTGTAAATTTCTGAACATTTCTATTCTGGATACTGGCTCTTATTTTCAGGTAATATTGAATGTATAAATGTCTACCTATGTAATACAATGCCAAAATGACTTCATATCCAACCCAAATGACTGATTTGGTAGTTTACATTTTAATAGAATGGTGTTAACCTCATTTTTGTCACATATGCTTCAATATCTCTTAATGCTAGGCCCGTCTTTACTCATTATTTCAGATGAATTATTGGAGACTATAACTGTGTTAAAGAAACCTCAAAATTAACACATTAAACAGTCTTTGCATAGAATTTTTGACTATGATGAAGAAGTGACATTTTTGCTGGTAATGAAATTTCCAAAACCTCAATTAAGCCACAGCATCTCAACATGCACTCTCTTTTGAAACCTAAGAAAACTAGTCAATCAAATTATTTTTCTGTCATTCTTTTAGATACAGTGGAGTTCAGTGACTCATTCATGCAATAAAATACAAATTAGAAAATTATACCCAAAATAGGTGAATATCATTGGAAAGCTTTCCTTCTCTAGGCTAACACAAGCCAATAAAGGAGGACTGTACTTTCTCTGCAGTATGAACAACTCTCACATTTAGATTGAATTTGATGTATGAAGTCCAACTCTCAGAAAACTTTCCATAATTTCATTCTCCTGTCTTATAAACCAACTCATGTTTTGTCAGAGTCATAAAAATATTAAAACTTATGTCAAATGTTCTATTACACAGTTTTGCTAGATTGTTCCGTTATGATTCTGATATGATAAAATTGCTAAGCAAAAATATGTAGTTGTGTCCCTTATAATTTCTAATATTTATGAAGCAACACAAATACAGCCTGGATCATGTCTCATACTAGTAAATAATAGTGTAGATACACTTTTCAGAAACAGAAACAAATTTTAAAGTTCTACTCAAATATTTCTCCACTCATATATACCTACAATACTATATTATGCAGTGTTTGTCCTGAAGCTGAAAGTAGAATTTGAGGCATTTTGCCAACACCTGTCTTATTTAAAACAGAAATGAAATGCAAATTTCTTATAGTTCCTCAAATGACATCGATAGCTTCTCATTAAGTTGCTTTTGCATCCAGTCAACATTTTATGAAATCACAATATAGATAAGACATAATTACCTTTCAGATGGAATCAGATCAGAACGAAACTCTCGCTGTCTGCCTTTTTTTCTTTTTTTGAGAAGATCTGAATGATTATGTGGGTGATAACAGAATCAGATCAACTGTATCTTACCTCTATCACTGAAGTCATCTACTAGGATGATTTCTGCTATGAGACTCTCCGGGGTTCGGTTAATTATGCTGTGTATGGTCCGCAGGAGTGAAGTCCAACCTTCATTATGAAATGGGATAATGATGCTGGTGTTTGGCAGTCTTTCCAGGTACATCTTGTGCTTACAGCTAGAGATGATAGAGGAAGAAAAACAGTTATGTCAAATGCAAAGCTGTAGTGTATCTTGTACTGTTATTTATTCATTGTGTTACCAGATGACTGTGGAAACATGACTTGGTCTAATACTTTCCCAACCAGAGCTTTTATGTCATAACAGTCACTGTACTCATTGACAGAATTCATTGATTCCTGTTCATTCTCTCTCTCCTTTTTTTCTTTTTTAAAGAGATCATTTTTTTTTTCCTGTAGGACATATGTGCTTGCTGGAGAGACAGAGAGAGAAAAAGTGAGAAATCACCCCCCCAGGAGGGGCAGGCAGGCCGCAATCCCTTCTCTATTCTCCTCTTAGGATTTTGGACACACATGCACATGTACACTGTGTGAATTTCAAGAAGCTGGGTCCAAGACTCAAAGAATGGTCAGCACTGTGGGAATAGAGCACCTTTACAACTACACCATCTGCTGGCCTCCATGCTCCCTCTTAATGAAGTTAGTTTATCTTGGTACCAGCAGGTGGCATAGTGGTTAAGGCACTGGACACTCCCACATGGCTCACCACAGTTCGAGTCCTAGATCTGGTGGCTTGCTTTCTCACTTTCCTTCTCTCTCTGTGTCCCTCTCTGGTCAAATTAAAAATAATAATAATAATAATAATGAAGAAATTAAATAAATAAATTATTATTTTTTAAAAAAGAAATTACTTTATCCTCTCATATCAAGAGCTCAAATATATCAGTGCATTGAATAATGTACTCTTGTTAATGCACATTTTCCCAATTGTTAAATAATAGAAAGATAAATGATATTCATCAAAATTGCTTCCACTGATACATAATTAAGCTTTAGATGGAGTACTTGCAAAGTTTTGAAGCTTTAACTTCTATAATAATTACACTTGGGGTTAGATTGTGGCACAGGGGTAATGCAAACAGATTCACACGAGAAGATCCTTGGTTCATGTCCCAAGACCTCATTCTGCACACTGCATAAGAGCTTGCATGCCATAATCCATACTGGCTGAGGGTGGGTGGATTACAGTGGGGATCTTATTGAGAGTGTCTCTCTCTCTATTTCTCTCTCTCTTTCATGGAAAAAGTACATTTTAAAACCTTTTTAAGAATATACTTAATTAGTCAGCTTTGACTGGGGAGTATGACAGTGACTGGATAGTATTTAAGGCTTTAAGAGGAAAAAAAATCTTTCAATTAAATGAAGAGTTAATCTGAAAAAAAATCTTTATTAAATATAACAGCATATGGGAACCAGCAGTTAGTGTAATGGCTATGTCGCTGGACTCCCACGTAGTTGACCGTGGTTCGCGTCCCGGACTCACGCCGGGCGCGTGTGCTTGTGTGCCCAAGATCCCGAGAGGAGAATGGAGAAGGGACTGCGGCGTGACCATCCCCCCGGGGGGTGATTTCTCGCTTTCTGTCTCTCTGTCTCTGTCTGTCTGGCAAGCGAAAGTGCCCTGTAGCAAAAACCTCTCCAAAAAATAAATAAATAAACAAACAAATAAATAAATAAATAGAAATCCCCCCCCCAGGAGGGACAGGCAGGCCACAATCCCTTCTCTATTCTCCTCTTAGGATTTTGGACACACATGCACATGTACACTGTGTGAATTTCAAGAAGCTGGGTCCAAGACTCAAAGAATGGTCAGCACTGTGGGAATAGAGCACCTTTACAACTACACCATCTGCTGGCCTCCATGCTCCCTCTTAATGAAGTTAGTTTATCTTGGTACCAGCAGGTGGCATAGTGGTTAAGGCACTGGACACTCCCACATGGCTCACCACAGTTCGAGTCCTAGATCTGGTGGCTTGCTTTCTCACTTTCCTTCTCTCTCTGTGTCCCTCTCTGGTCAAATTAAAAATAATAATAATAATAATAATGAAGAAATTAAATAAATAAATTATTATTTTTTAAAAAAGAAATTACTTTATCCTCTCATATCAAGAGCTCAAATATATCAGTGCATTGAATAATGTACTCTTGTTAATGCACATTTTCCCAATTGTTAAATAATAGAAAGATAAATGATATTCATCAAAATTGCTTCCACTGATACATAATTAAGCTTTAGATGGAGTACTTGCAAAGTTTTGAAGCTTTAACTTCTATAATAATTACACTTGGGGTTAGATTGTGGCACAGGGGTAATGCAAACAGATTCACACGAGAAGATCCTTGGTTCATGTCCCAAGACCTCATTCTGCACACTGCATAAGAGCTTGCATGCCATAATCCATACTGGCTGAGGGTGGGTGGATTACAGTGGGGATCTTATTGAGAGTGTCTCTCTCTCTATTTCTCTCTCTCTTTCATGGAAAAAGTACATTTTAAAACCTTTTTAAGAATATACTTAATTAGTCAGCTTTGACTGGGGAGTATGACAGTGACTGGATAGTATTTAAGGCTTTAAGAGGAAAAAAAATCTTTCAATTAAATGAAGAGTTAATCTGAAAAAAAATCTTTATTAAATATAACAGCATATGGGAACCAGCAGTTAGTGTAATGGCTATGTCGCTGGACTCCCACGTAGTTGACCGTGGTTCGCGTCCCGGACTCACGCCGGGCGCGTGTGCTTGTGTGCCCAAGATCCCGAGAGGAGAATGGAGAAGGGACTGCGGCGTGACCATCCCCCCGGGGGGTGATTTCTCGCTTTCTGTCTCTCTGTCTCTGTCTGTCTGGCAAGCGAAAGTGCCCTGTAGCAAAAACCTCTCCAAAAAATAAATAAATAAACAAACAAATAAATAAATAAATATAACAGCATAGAATATATTAAGATTCAAGTTAAGACATTATCATGTGCTTTATGGAAACTATCCAGAAATCTCAAATTGATTTTTTTATTGTTTAACAATTAGAGAAACTGAAAAGGAAGACTTTTCTTATCCCATCCCTTTGTCAATTATTTAACATAAGAATCTGTTAACTTTTACAATATTTATAAAACAAGTAGATTTTGATGTTTTCCATAACAACAAAAAGAGTTAGACAAACTTCAAAGTGATACCATGCTTTGGAAATAAATATGCTATAAAAATATGAAATTAATTTGAGGATTATTTTAAATGGCACACACACACAATGTGAAAGCAATAAGTCAGTAATTTACAAGGAAGTGTAATGGACACTTTCATAAATAATGCACATATCTAGAAAAGACTGCTAATGTAATTCAGACCCCCCAGCCATAATTATGCAGGCCCATCCATTCTTCTGAACAAAGTCAAAGACACAAGATAAAATATTCAGGATAATTATACCTACTGTCCAAAGCACCATACCTCAAAATGTTCTGGAAATGCAAGTGATATTTCCAAGAAGGAGAAGTATTTTTTAAACATGAAGACAAAATATTACATATATATTATATATATTATATTTATATATATATATATACACACACACATATATATATGTATATATATACATACACACACACACACACACACACACATATATATATATATATAAAACTTGTTTATTAAATAAGATTGTATTAGGAGTGTTATTCTGTTAACAATAAATGGGTTCATGACTTTAAAAAAATGTTTAACTGTCACATACAATCCCTCAGAAATCAGCCGCAAAAGTATTTAAGATTAATCATATGCAACAAGGCTTTCCCTCTACAAAATATTTCAATAATTTCTGTTGATGTGAGTTCAAATTATTACCCTATATGAAATAATAAGAATACTGGGACCAGCAGGTGACATGGTATTTAAGGCACATGGCTGAATACAGTTCTAGTCCTGGACTCAGTGGCTTCAAAATCATTCCAGACAGTGTGTGTGTGTGCGCTCAAAACCCTGAGAGGAAAATGGAGGAGAAGAGATTACACTATGGCCATCCCCCTGGGTGGTGATTTCCTGCTCTTCCTCTCTCTGAAACTCTCTACGACTTTCTCTAGTGAACTCATGCATTCTATGACAAAAATGTAAAATATGATGAAAGGATACTTTATACCATTCATTCATTCACTCAAATCATGATAATATACCAAAGGTTTCATATAAACCAGTATCCTAATTAGAAATTAAACAAAGAGCAAAATCTACTTAATTTCAAGACCTTAACACTATGAAAAATACAAATTGACAAATAGTTACAATTTTTAAATGAAATACACATTACAGAAAGAAGTTTAATAAAGTGCTATAGGAACATTTAATAGAAGACCCTAAACCAATTTAAAATAGTGTTGTAGAAATTTAAGTGAAATTTTAAGATGGTCTTCAGAAGAAAATTTCAAAATGTATTTAGTAATAGAACTGGAAGGATTTGATAACTGGGAAAAGTAGTTAAGGAGGACTCCCATGTTTGGGGCAACAGCAATTGACCTGATGAAATACAGACTAATTTAGGAGTACATTTGAGGGTCCCATTTGAGAGTTTCTAAGACTGATGATACAGATAATGAGTTCAGTTTTGGTCATGTTATGGTTGACGTACTAAAACAACATCTAGTTGAAAATAGCCTTTACACATACACACACACACACACACACACACACACACAAACTGGGATCTTCAGGAAATTCATGGAAAATATGTATTATAAAAACATCATGCATGGTTTTTACTTTTTTTGGAACAAAATAAACTTGTATTTTCATTTGATTTTTTTTCCACTAACTTTCGGAACTATCCTCATAAACTATATACACCTGTCAGCCTGTCAATCATCCATCTATCTACCTATCATCTATCTATGTGTATGTGTGTACCTCAAGGTAAAGACATGTCTGGTGGAAGAAAGAGGCTTGTGAGTCATAAGCTCTGGCAGATAATGCCAGCACAGCACTGATACCCGCTTAGCACTCGCCATTCCACTGCAAGCCAAGAAGGCCCTTTATAAGGACATGTACATATGGCAAATGCTCTCTCTCGTCTCTGCACAAAGGATGAATCAGAAGTTCTGGGGAATTAATGCCTATGGAACAAGTATCAACCATGAAGAATGATGGTGGAGAGCAAATAGTCCTAGGGTGAGATAATT